TTTTTTTTTTTTTTTTTTTTTTTTTTTTTTTTGCATTTTCCCTTTTTTTCTTAATTTTTTTTAGTTTTTAGTTTCATTTAGCCTATTTTTTAAAAATAAAGTTTTTGCTGGCAATGACTTTTTACTCATTGTGAGCTTTCTAATACAGTCTAATAATACAGTCTCGTCGTAATGGCTGAGTAAATGATGCCGATGAGACGAAAGAAAAGGTGGGGATTAGAGTGAGAAGAAACTTTAGGTCATTAAAGATGGTGATGAGGATGATGATAAAGAAGATGTCTGTATCAGACTGGTTATTGGTTACACTTTTTGTTGTTGTTTTTGTCGCCGTCTGCTTAAGATGGAATAATTTTGATTCTTTGGCTTATTTTTTTAATAGACTCAATAAGTTTCAATCTAATGGACTTTTCTTGTTTTTTAATTAGTTTTTTCTTGCATCTATCGGTTTCATTAAAAGAAACTTTAAAAAACTTATTATTTTTAGGCCATTCTTATTGCATCTCCTCATATGCTTGTCTGTCACAATAAAATGCAAAAAAAACCACCATCACAGCAAGTACAAAAAAAAAAAGAACGAAAATTGTCAGAAATCTATTAATAAGGTTGAGAAATTGGTTTGAAAGAGGGGCAATGCTGATAGCAGTAAGTTAGAATTGGAATTTTGCATAAAACTGAAACTCTTTATTTGCGCTATCGTTTACCCTTACTGTCCCACTCTTGACGCCTCCAGTGATTTTCTTAAGCCATAATGTAGATTCTGGGATCTTTCAGAAGCATTAAGAGTGGGACAGTAAGGGTAAACGATAGCGCAAATAACGGGATGGGATCTTTTGCATGATTATTCATCCGGTAGTCCTTTTTTCTTCACTTAATTCGTGTAAATTTTCTTTTCTGGAATCAGCTGACGACAGTCTTTCATCATCCATCGGTATCCACCATGAAATATGGAAAAACAAAACAGAAACAGAAATTGCTGAGTAAAAGTCGATGATGATGGTAATCATATTGTTGTCGTGTGGATGGAAACTGCATTTGATCAGTGCATTAGAGCCACGCAAATGGCTAGTCCTAAATTTTTTTCTTTTCTTGACAAAATAGCAGACTAAGCGTTGACAAAAAATGAAGTTAAAAAAGAGAACCTTTTTTTTTTCCAAATAAGATGGAGCGAAGGGAGAAGGGGAGAAATGGAGAGAGAGAGATGAGTAAGAAGGTTTTTTTTTTTAAGCTGAAGCAAGAAAAAGAGAAATTTGAGTTCCTCTATCATTCTATGAATTCTTCAGCGATTTCTGTTAGAACTGTTTTCTCTTTTCAACGCTTTCTCCTTCTTGCCTCCTCGTTCCTTCGCCAAATGAACAATGTTCCAGTGAAACAAATCGTCTTCATCGTCATCAGAACCAGCATTACCGTCTTCGTCACTGTCATCATTCATAACTGCAGCAGCAACAGCAATATGCATGAAACCATTACTGCAGTATAATCGATAAAATCTTTTTTCGTTTTTCTCAACCAGTGACACAGCTAAGAAGATGTGGACGCATTTTTGTCCAGTAAGAAAAATTGTGTTATCTTGTTTGTTTTTTGAACCAATATGAAGCTAAAGAAAAAGGTTGAGAAAAAGATGAAGTGTGACACTCACAAGGGAAGGAGAAGAAACGACAGTATCTTTTGCTATAACTTTTACTTGGGAAAGAAGAGCTGGACAAAAAAACTTTCCTTTTTCTGTTTTGAAACAATGATAATTTTATTTTTTTCTTCCATTTCTGTTCCCTTCTTCCTTCATCTCTTTCATCTGCTTCTTCTCCACCATTCCTTTACACTTATATTCCTTCCGTTCTCTTTAGCTGTTTAGTCCGTGTGCTAATTTTTCTGATTTTCTTTTTTACTCCTTCTTTTTTTTTTTGAAATTTTTTCCATTTTTTTTCCATCACATAAATACTCTTTTTTTTTTCTGATTTTTGAACTCTTATTTTTTTTTTTTGTTTAGCAAAATTTTTTGGAGTCAGTTGAAAGTTGAGATTTGCGAAAAAAAATACGACCAATTTTTGTTGTTGTTTCACCCCTTTTGCTTCGTAACATCATCTTTGTGCGAATTCTGTTTGAACTTACTCCATATGCACAATTGATTTTTGCATCCTTTTCTGCCTTCTCTCCTCATCATCAGTTTAGATTTTCATCCAGTTCCGTCTGCTTTTCTCAGTTCCAACAATCCTTACGTTCTGCAGACTAAGCAGCTCACAGCTAAGGTATGATGTAATTTGATA